GTAACACGACAGTAAGGTCATCGTTAAATGTATGTTATTGTAGACATACGTGTACTAACCAATATCGTAACATGACAGTAAGGTCATCGTTAAATGTATGTTATTGTAGACATACGTGTACTAACCAATATCGTAACATGACAGTAAGGTCATCGTTAAATGTATATTAGTGTAGACATACGTGTACTAACCAATATCGTAACATGACAGTAAGGTCATCGTTAAATGTATATTAGTGTAGATATACGTGTACTAACCAATATCGTAACATGACAGTAAGGTCATCGTTGCATGTATATTAGTGTGGACAAACGTTCAATATCCAAAACATTTTTACACGTCAATAAAAAGAGAAAATTTTCTTCAATCAACTTCTTTGTTTAAATCATTTTCTTTTATTAAAGCGTTTTTTCCAGACAATATGACAGTAAACAAAGTGTGTTATTGATGTTTTACACTATAAACAAACTATTAAACGCATTTACATCTCCTATAAAGTAGGAAAAAAAAACAATCTCGCGAAGAGAAACGAAGATTTAGAAAGCTCAAACACTCTAACAAACCTTACCGCGAGTTATCGCAATTAGAAAAGTATACAAAATATTTGTAATAAAACTGCCAAATAGGCAATTGATATACAAGTATATTTGTACATAAAAATTAACTACACGATCATTAGGAAATGAACGGAATCCTACATGGAAGGGACTAAAAAATAAAATAAAATAACTTTTTTTAAAAAAAAATTATGGTTTTTAAATGCGGTTGAACAAAAAAAATACGTTTCACTATAAAATTAATCTTATATGATGAGGAAGAATTTATTTGTTTGGAATTAAGAACAAAGCTACAATGGGCTATCTGTGCTCTACCCACCACGGGTATCGAAACCCGGTTTCTAGCGTTGTAAGTCGGCAGACGTGCCGCTGTGCCACTGAGGGGGGAGGGGCATGAGGAAGTAAATAGAGAATACAAATATAATAAAATAAAGTCTTGTAAATAAAACCACTAGGTAAAAAAAAAACGAAAACTTTTATCAGTTCACTTGATAAGAAATGCTTCAAAATTATACAGTCGGGAAACCTTTTCTCGTCTTTTCTTGTCCGAGAACAGGATCATCATCGTTTGAGGTTGGAACTCCAGCTCTGAGAAAATGAACATATAATGAATTTCAGAAATCAATTGTTTATTTATTATACTATGCATAACTCTTAGTATTGAAACATTTATTTGGATAGCAGTAAATCTAGAACACTACAAACAATCTGTGAAAATAAATCTGTAATATAATCATTAAACAGTTGGTCCATTATATAATATCGAATAATTAATTGGGCACAACATAATAATATCATTCACGCATTTAAAGTAACTTGGGTTACTATATGGTGAATTAGAAAGGACTCAACCACCCTCACCACCCCCCAAAAAAAAAGGTTTGTAATAAATACTATTTTATATTATTCATATACATTACTGGTACAAAATAAGTTTGCATGTTCACAAAATGACTGACATCTAGTGGCAGTTAAGTGAACCATAAGATATTATACTACAATACCAATGGTGGTACTTTTTTTCATTTACAAGTAGATGAAATATTTGGAACTATTCCTAAGAATGTCAGTGTTGCAACTGCATTATTGCGGAAGAAGTAGGTTAAATCTTGTATGTGAAGGATGTTAAAAAAAATTAGAAATTACATTAAATTAAATAATGGAAAAATAAATCACGTAAAATTGACCACCACGTAATGATGTAACTGTAGTAAAAGTCGGGGGGGGGGGGGAGAGACAGTGAGCATGATACAAAAGATTTCGTTAACTTGTTTTTATGTGTAAAGCTGTACAATGGATTATTTGTGCTGCACCAGCTGCAAGTATCGTACCCCAAACTATAGCATTATAAACCCTCGTGCTTCCGGGAAGTAAAATCAATTACAGGGTGTCTAACACAAATTCTTGGAGGACTCAGAATGGGTCAAATCAAATAAAATAATTATCATCGGGGCGTCTGCTGTTGGGGCACATTTAGACGTTACGAGCTTAAGCGGTTATGAATCCAAAATTTGATCTTACAAATTGAATTTTCTCTGTATATTTGTTTCTATTGAATTTCTCGCAAAGCTACACGAGGGCTATCTGCGTTAGCCGTCCCTAATTCAGCTGTGTAAGACTAGAGGAAAGGCAGCTAGTCATCACCACCCACCGCCAACTCTTGGGCTACTCTTTTACCAAAGAACAGTGGGATTGACCGTCACATTATAACGCCCCACGGCTGAAAGGGCGACCATATTGATTGGGACGGAGATTCGAACCCTCAGAGTGCGATTCGAGTGTCCTAACCATCTGACCATGCCGGGCCATTTCTGTTGATGATATTACCTGGATGTTTAGTTTCAATTATTCTAATATTCGGTGATTTGTTCTGATCCAACAAAGTAAAACGTAGAACAATAGGAGTAATTGATAAAACAGACGATGTATTGTTCAGTTGGACAGCATTTACAGATGTAAATATTACTTACCAATTCCGTCTTAATCGCCCTAGCGGTAAGATCCTGAAACACGGATGATTGGTTGAATCCTTCTTTATAACACTTACTTTCGTAGAAAGCCGATTAGCTAGATTTGTAGACATTTCAGTTTAATAAACAATTGATATACTTTATTCGGTCCAAAAATGTTAAATAAAAATTTATTTTGAATTTCACTTAGGAATTTTCCTATGTTGCAAGTCATTATAGCGGAGGAAATAAGTTAAATATTGATTAAATGTCTTATCACCACAAGTAGGCAACTTCTTCGTGCATACGACTGATACAAAAGTCACTTTAATTACATTCCAAGCTATCTTAAAACGCGACCGAATAAATCTAAAATGCCAGTTACAAATAATAATAATGATATTAGATCCTTAACACGTCTTACATGCTAAACTGATTGTATGAGATCCTTAACACATCTGACATGCTACACTAATGGTATGATGTCCTT